ATTTTAAGATTCAGGGGGTACATGTCCAGTTTTGCTACATGGGTACATTGTGTGTGTTGATGAGGCTTGAGTTTCTATTGAACCATCACTCAAACAGCGAACACAGTACCCAGAGGTAGTTTTCCCCACCTCCCACTTTTGGAGTTCCTAGTGTTTATTGTTCCCATCTTTATGCCTGTGTCTACTCATCGTTTAGCTCCCACTGATAAGTGAGAACATGCGATACTCAGTTTTCTGTTGTTGCATTAACTCACTTAGGATGATGGCCTCCATCCATGTTGCTGTAAAGGACATGATTTCGTTATTTTTTCATGGCTGCATCTTCTTTTGGTTTTGATAAACTGTTGGCCACAGTTTTGCTTAGTCTGATGGCCATCTGATTCCTTATGGTAACTTGGCACATCTTTGCTCCCGTATACTTTGTGTAATTTCATGGTTACACACTCAGGAGACAATATTATTTCCAAGTTTGCTTTAGTGGACTCCCTTTCTCTTTCTCCCAAGTCTCCTCCATACCTGCGATGAGCTTCTGGTGGAGGAAAGAGCCTTTCCTGCAACACCCAGAGTGGGGCTTTTCATACCTCGCTGCTCGCTTGACTGATGATGTTGCTTTCGTCCTGCTGCCTATACTCACCCTCTTCCTTGGGCCTGAGAGATGGGTTGTGCAGCCTCTTCCACATTTCAGAATACTTTAATATACATTCCCTTGAATGGATTTCATGACACTGGGAAACAAGCTTCGCAAGGCAAAGTGTTTGGCCTATTTTGCTCATTGCTATATCCCCGATGCCTAGATAGTCCTGTGAAAAGGCAAAGATTTTATAGATGAAGAAATTGAGCTTCAGAGAGCATGTGGCTTCTAAATGGAGAGAACATCTAGCTTTGAGTTCAGGGTTTAGTGCTACTTTTGGAGCACAGGCTAACCTTTTCACTTCTACAAATTATCTGAGAAAGGACAAGGAACTGCATCTTTCTTACAGTGTCTACTGCGTGACAGGATGGCAAGGAAAGGATACTGACATAGAAGTCCTAAGTTCTAATATTATCACTGATGCTTTCTAATCCTGAGACCCAGGCTCCAGGGCCCTAGGGGGCATGGATGACATCACAGACATGAAAGTATGTTGTAAATGGCAAGGCATTGTAGTGGATTGAATTGTGTTTCCAAAAAGATAGATTGAAGTCCTAACCGCAGTACTTGTGAATGTGACCTTATTGGAAACAGGGTCTTTGGAGCTGGAATTAAGTTAAGATGGAGTCATTCTAGGTTAGGGGAACATCCATCCATCCAATCAATGGTGTCCTTAGAAGAAGGCCATATGAAGACACAGAGACACAGATACACACCAAGGGAAGATGGTCATGTGAAAGCAGAGGTAGCAATTGGAATGATGGAGCTACGAGTCAAAGAATGCCGAGGATTCCTGGCAACCACCAGGATCCAGGAAGAGGCAATAAAGGATTCTTCCCTGTGCTGTCAGAGGGAGCATGGCCCTGCTGATACCTCGATTTTACACCTCTAGCCTCTAAAACTGTGACGAATACATTTCTGTTGTTTTTAGCCATTCAGTTTGTGATGTGTTATGGCAACCCTAGGACACTAACACCAGTGTGTTTCACATAAATGGCCACGCTTTGTATAGACTGATGGTTCCATGCTGCACGCACAGCTCTTCTAGGTGAAAGGGCCTCCACAGACATATGACTTTTCCTCCCTGATGCTTGAGTTTCCCTCATTTTCAGTCTGTCTTTTTTTTCAAGGGGGGGACTCAGGACAGGCTATGGAGTGGCTAGAAAAGTGGAGAGAAGGACACAGCCATCTGAAAGCACGAGGGTGCATGTCCCAAGGGTTAGACAGTCACTGTGGGGATGGAGGTGCTAACAGCAGAGCTGGAGGGTCCCCAGAGAGTGCACTTGCCAGCCCTACGGATCGCAATCATCATGAAGCACAAACGCTGGCAGGCAAGAGAACAGGCACAGACAGAAATCGATATGCCTCAGTTCAATGCTTCAGCCCTGCTTTGGGTCAAAGACTCTTGGCAACATCTGGTAACTCTATTCAGCAGGGCTCCACTGTCTCCTGCTCCCCTTCCGATCTGGGTTTTCCTATCCTTCCTGCACGTGCTGTGAAGGTAGGGCTGAGCCAAGGACTCTGACACACATTTCATAATACTCTTGTGGGAAAAACCAAACAAAGCACGATAGGAACAAACCCTTATTTCTGGATGGGGTTTAAAATTCACAAAGCAGCCGGGCTCGGTGGCTCAGTCTGTAATCCCGCACCTTTGGGAGGTGAGGGGATTGCCTGAGCCCACGGGTTCGTGACCCGCCTGGGCAGCGAGACCTCATCTCTACAATAAATAAAAATAAAATAAAATAAAATAAAATTTACAAAGCAGTTTTCCATACAATCCCTCTTGATGGAGCCTCCTTGTGAAAGGATCCAGAGGTGCCTATGCACGAGAGACAGGTTTCCTAATCCAGAGAGTACAGGAAGTCCTTAGCAGAATTATGCCGAGCCCCCCAAAAGTGGGTAAAAGAGATGGCAACACATACCCCAATATACAGCCCTATGCAATAGCAAAGAGCAGACTGAGCTCATGGCACCAGCTGAACACCATCTGGGCAAGAGTCCTGAGACGAGAACAGAGGGCTTCTGTTGTTAATGAATGGGAGACTAGGTAAAGTGGACCCACTCTTCTATTAAAGACAACCAAAGAGCTATACAAACATCTGAAAAGCACCAAAGAGCTAACAAGATACTAAAGAATTACTAGGCTGGCATCCCAGAAAGGGCAGGAATCCAGACAGGTGAGCCCAACTTCCGGACCACTTGTGCCCTGGAGGTTCTTGCCCATCAAGCAGAGGTGACTGAGAATGGGTTGTGTTGCTGAACATCTTGCAGGGTTGAGCAGGGGGAGTTGGAGTACGGGCCCACCAAAGATGGGGGACACTGGTAAACCGTTGCCTGTTTTGGGCGTGACCCCAGAGGATTGTACCCCAGGGTTAAGGATGAACCAGAAGCAAACCTGCCCCTGCACAGTCTGACAGGTCTGCAGCTTGGTTCCAGCAGCTTAGAAAATCTCCAACCTTGAATTTGGATGAATGTGATCCCAGAATTCTGGTGCCTCGGTCACCTGACAGAGGTAAACAAAACACTCTCTAGAGAAAGGAATCATCCTAGGCCTCAAAATATTTTAATAAACAATTTTCCAAATATGATGTCCAGCATGAAATAAAAAATGAGGGACATGTAAATACAAATCAGGGAGATCCAGCAGAAATTAGGCAACTGAAACACACTTATAGGGATTCCAGTTGCTGGAATGATCACAGATTGAAGACAGGCAAAAAGTTCTAGAAAACTGAGTCTGGCTATTTGAACTCTTAACTTTCTCTGTAATCTTTTGCAATTTTATAATCTCTATCTTCAGTCTGCCTTCACCACTGTTTCAAGAGTTCTTTTCAGAAAGCAAATCTGACCCTCCCTTAGCCCGTTGCTTCAATGGCATTCAAGGCTCTTTTACAATCTGTCCTAAATTGTCCCTTTCAGCTTCATCACACAATCTCTAGTCACACAGAACTACTTTCCTGAGTATTCTTCCTCTGTCTTCAGTGTCATCTTGTTTCATCCTGAAAAACGCCTCATCAAGTCCAATTTATCTCTTTGAAGCCTTTCTGAACTCTTAACTCCAATTCTCATATAATACAGATATACACACCAGTATTATAATGCTGATACACTATTATGATTACTTGTTTATGTCTGTTTTTTAAGTAGGTTATTAATTTCTTTCTTTTTTTTTTTTTTGAGTTGGAGTCTCACTGTTGCCCAGACTGGAGTGCAGTGGCCGCTCCCGGTCACCACAGCCTCGACCTGCTGGGGCTCCGGCAATCCTTCTGCCTCAGCCTTCCAAGTAGCTGGAATTACAGCCGCACACTACCACGCCCGGCTAATTTTTTTGATTTATTGTAGAGATGAGGTCTCGCCAAGTTGCCTAGGTGGGTCTCGAACCCGCAGGCTCAGGCAATCCACTCACCTCAGCCTCCCAAGGCGCGGGATTACAGGCTGAGCCACCAAGCCCGGTTTATTAACTTCTTGAGGTTAGGGTCTATCTCATTCACCAAGCATTCCTGGCATCTAGGATAGTACCTCCTAGTCTCAGAGTAAGTGCTTAATATTAATAAATACTTATGAAATAATTAAAGGGTTTTTTTTTTTTTTTGAGTCAGGATCTCACTCTGTCACCCAGGCTAGAGTGCAGTGCCAGGATCATGGCTCACCAAAGCCTTGACCTCCTGGACCTCCTAGGTAGCTGGGATTACAGGTGCATGCCACCATACCTAGCTAATTTTTTGACTTTTTTTTGTAAAGATGAGGTCTTGCTATGTTGCCCAGGCTGGTCTTGAACTGCTGAGCTCAAGCAATCTACCTGTCTCAGCCTCCCAGATAGTTTTCTTAATAATAGGTGATATAGAGTGTTATTGGCTGAATTGGTCCCCCCCCTCAAATTCATATGGTGAAGCCCCAACCTCCAATGTAACTGTATTTGGAGACAGGGCCTTTAAGGAGTTAATTATGATTAAATAGGTGACAAGAGAGGGGCTCTTATCTAACAGGATTGGTGTCCTTATAAGAACAGGAAGTGATATCAACTCACTCTCTCGGTTTCCACAAGCACATAGAAAAGGTCGTGTGAGGATGCAGCAAGAGAATGGCTGTTTGCAAGCCAGGCAGGGAGGCTTCTTCAGAAACCAAGCTTGTTGGCCCTGTGATCTTGTACTTCTAGCCTCCAGAACTGTAAGAAAATACATTTCTGTTGTCTAAGCCACTCAGAATATGGTATTTTTATTACAGCAGCTAGAGCAGACTAATACACAGACCATTTCTGAGATTTCAAACATGTTTAAATATACACCTTCAGTGAAGGTAAGAATTCAACTCAAATTGGTAAGAATGGGTAAGGGAGTGGATACCATGACATGAAGAAAATGAATAGCTTTTTAAAAAGTTTTATTTCAAGAACTTTTACTGGTATTTCAAAAAAAGGGTGGGTCAAAGTACAAAAAAAAAAGTCAGTTGAATAACAGCACAGGTTTAGAAATCACAGCAGCAGAAGCAATGTACAGACAGCACAGACAAAACAACCCAATATATGCAATTCCGTTCCATTTCTTTGCTTAATTTTAAGTATTTTTTTTTGCCTCCTGTACAAAATACATCAAAGCATGCCATGAGATCAGAAAAAGAAAGAGTTTAACAAATGGTTACAAGAAATAGGCTCTGTACAAGAGGAGATAATGTTTCTTCCCCTGCCCCCACCCCCCACCCCCTATTTCCTCTCTTCTTGCTCTGCTTTAGGTTAAATTATTCTGAAGACAGTTCACGTCCAAGTCAGCCTGGTCACCTTTGCCACCCTCAAGTTTGGGTGACATGGAGTTTTGGATGTTAAATGACTCCTCCTCTTTCAGGCAGGATTTGAGAGCTTCTTGGATTTTATGGGGAGCATTAGGATCATCCTGGAAGAGGAAAAGAGTTGAGGGGAGAGGAGAAAATGGGGAGAGCAATCAAATAATAATCTCAAGTTTTTCTATCTGGCTGAAAGAAATATAACTAAAAAAAGGAAAAAGCTCTAAAAGCTCTAAAACTTGAAGGAGCCTAAGGGAACCACTCTTTAGCAGCTACATTTTAGGAAAGTCATCCTTAAAAGCAATAGCCAGATATAGATGAAAACTTGACAGGTAACTAGATTCCAAATACCTTTAATTTGGGCCAGTCCAAGGTTTTCTCTTGGACAGAGGCTGGGGAGAAACAGTCCCTTGTAATACTCTAAAGTCTCACACGTTGATGAGCTCTGCTCGGCCTGCTGGGTCCCACCTTCCTCTGACCCTCTATCCTGTTGAGATGTCCCCCTGCTTTCACACAAATATCTTGGTCAGGGAACACATCTTGTCAGTGAATACCGCGAGGCACACGTAGAACCACAGTCAGGTGCAGACCTGTTCTTGGCAAAGCTAGGGCCCTTCTCCCCACAGCAAAAATATGTCCTCTGAGTAGAGGCCAAAGATGTGGGAGCCTCTTACCGTCAAGAGTTCCTGCCAAAAGATGCTAACTAAAAACAGATGTCCTCAGTCTCAGCCCGAGTGAGTCTGGCCGTGTCCATGGCTTGCCTCACTCTGCATCAGATGATACTCGTGCTGCTGGTTCTGATGCGCCCCTGTGCTTCCTGCCAATCCATGTATACCACCTGCTGCTCTCTGACAGAAAGGCCACCCTAGCACACAGTCCTCCAACGCCACATTTTGCACATTCACAGAACTGTTGTGGCAGCTCCTGCCTCAGTCTCTTGCTTTAGGACAACCTGAGGGGATTATATGCAATTCAGTGGTCTCAGTTCTTTCTCTGGTGCTGTTGTAAGAACTCTGCTGAGCAAAGTGGGTATGTAGACACCCAGGCAGATGCATGGAAGGCAAGAAGATAGAGAATGTCTCAATTTGACCAGCTAGATTAGACCGTTCTGGCTTTAACCACTAACAAAAATAAAGATAATCATCCTCCTTAAGGATCAGGGGTTCTCTAGAAAACTCTGGTGAGTTCTTGTCACACTGCCTGCTTCTGAGTTTGACCCATCACAGCACTAGGTTAGTATAGTGATGGGTTGGGAAGAAAGTAGGGACAGCCCTCGTCTTCCAAGGTGTCTGTGCACACAGAGCACTAGGGGTGTTCACTAGTTGTGTCTGTAGAAATCACCGCTACCCGCCCAATGCCTCAAGTCTCACTTAGAGCCTCTTTAGGGGTCCAGATTGAACAGAGAGATTGTTAACAGAGTTTCAAAGACTTCACACGTGGTTTACAGACAGTGGGGAAAACTCATGTTTCTCATTTCCAGTGAGGCAAGAACAGGAGGAAATGGACTTCAAGAGTATTGAGGCAGACTTCAGGCAAGGCAGCGGCACCCGGCACACACCGGCACTTGATATGTCAATCACCGCCTGGAGAGAGTCACAGAAAAACTGCACAGTGACACAAATCTATGTGTCCTGGGAAGATCTGCATGATATATTAGCTGAAAAAAAGCAAGGGGATGGCTGGGTGTGGTGGCTCACTCCTGCAATCCCAGTACATTGGGAGGTGAAGGCGGGAGGATCACCTGAGGCCAGGAGTTCAAGACTAGCCTGGGCAACATAGCAAGGCCTCATTTACACACACACACGATTTTTTTTTTTAAATTAGCCAGGCATGGTGGCACACAACTGCAGTCCTCACTACTTGGGAGGCTGAGGTGAGAGGATCACTTGAGGCTGGGAGTTTGAGACCAGCCTGAGCAACATACATGTTGTCTCTACAAAACAGGAAAATATTATCTGGGCATGATGGCACGCATGCGCAGTCCCAGCTACTCAGGAGGCTGAGGTGGAAGACTGCTTGAGCCTAGGAGTTCGAGGCTGCAGTGAGATATTATCCTGCCACTGCATTCCAGCGTGGGTGACAGAGAGACTCTGTCTCTTAAAAAGAAAAAAAAAAAGAGGGGGGTGTAGAACATATGTACAGCAAAATCTCATTTATGGTTAAAAACGATACCTACAGGTACGTATGTGCATAAACACATGCACACATGCCTTATGGAGAGAAGAGGAATGAAGGAGACCCACACTTTTTATTTTGTGCACTTCTGTGCTGTCTAGGGAGGACCCTGGGCATGACAGCTTGAGAGTTGAGCCATTAAAGATCCTGGGCAGGGCAGATTCTGAATTACAAACTTGACCCCTCGAAGGCTCAGGGAACTTGGCCAGGTAAGAAAACTGCCTTCTGAGCCAAGGGGTAGTAGAAGCATATCCTAAAAGAAGGCTTAGAGGTGTCCAAACAATGCTATTAGACAAGCTAGTGCCTCCAGCAAACACAGGGACAGAGAGTCAGATCTGGACAGAGCTCTCCCGACCTAAATGTTTCCTCCAGAACTTGATCCTAGTAAGCCCAGGGCTGCGGGTCCCACAGCAGAAGGTGTCACTGCCCTTGACTTGGCAGAAGTATCTCATCACAAGGGAGCTGGATTGACATCTGGCATAACTCACGGGAACCATCGTGGGCCCCCTGCTGCCAACATCCTGCCCAACCATATGGGTACCCTTCATTCAGTCCAGGGGTCATGCGGGTTCAGGCCCCCAGTCGTCCAGATGGAAACCTCTATCTGAAGAGGACAGGCAGTCGATGATTCACCAAACACATGCAAGAGCAGAATCTAGACAGCAAGGAAGATTTAAATGGGGGGGAAGCACTAAGGAGCACCATGGAGAAATCCTAGGAATAAACTGAAATCCTGGAAGGTCTGTCAAATCTTAGGATGTCTCAAGCTGCTGGCCACATTGCCTAGACAGCACCACTGTGAGTACCAGTGGGGTCGGTGTGTGGACAGGCTGCCTGGGCTTCAGGTGGCTCCATGCGTGTGGCATACCTGGAGCGTGTCCAGCATCTTTCCTATCACACCTTCTGAAGTTCCCTCTTAGGCAGTGGCTCAGTTACACAAAAGACTCGTGCACAGACTCAGCCTTTGGCCGCCCCCAGCTAAAGAACCTCACACCAGTCCCAGAGGACCCAGAGAGGAGCAGCGGAGGGTGGGAAGGAGGTGCCACTGATACAGTCCCTGCCACCGACCCCCCCCCAACGTTTTTGTTTGAAATCTTCTCAAAGTGTGGCTGGCACAGATTGTTGCAACAGGATAGGAAAACGACCCACTCAATCTACTTCACTTATGTGAAAGAAATAACACATCTATTAAAATAAATGGAACTCTCCAAAATCTTACGGAACACCAATTCCAACAAGGAGTTTGGAGGGGAGAGAAGGATGGGGAGAGGATAAACCACAGGCTGGACTCTGATGCCCCTCATTTCTTCTCCTGGCTCACCTCACCCCAAAGTTTTCCTTCCTCTCTCCCTCCCTCCTTCCCTCCCTCCCTTAGTTGGAGTCTCACTCTTGTCACCCAGGCTGGAGTGCAGTGGCATGCTCCCAGTGTTGACCTGCTGGGCTCCAGTGATCCTTCCACCTCAGCCTTCCAAGCAGCCAGAACTACAGGCACGTGCTACCACCCAGCAAATTTTTAAAAATTTTTATTTATTATAGAGACGAGGTCTCACCATGTTGCCCAAGATGGTCTAGAACCCACAGGCTCAGGCAATCCTCTCACCTCGACCTCCCAAAGTGCTGGGATTATAGGCTTGAGTCACCATGCCTGGTCTTTTTTTTCTTTCTTTTGAGACAAGGTCTTGCTCTGTCACCCAGTCTGGAGTGCAATGGTACAATCAAAGCTTATGTAGCCTCTAACTTCTGGGCTCAAGCAATCCTCTACTCTCAGCTAACTGAGCAGCTAAGACTACAGGCACACACCACCACACATGGCTAATTTTGCCACCACAACTGGCTAATTTTTTGTAGAGACAGAGTCTCACTATGCTGTCCATAGTAAGACCTGCTCAGGCTAGTCTCAAACCCCTGGCCTCAAGCGATCCTCCTGCCTCAGTCTCTCAAAGTGCTGGGATTATAGGCTTGAGTCACTGTGCCCAGCCCTTTCTCATTTTCATTCTGCTGCTGGCACCACTGGTAAGCAGCCTGGGTGCTGGTTGTAGCAGTGAGCAGAGCTTCATATCACAACAAAGTGGTAACCATCTTAACTGGCAATGCCCACAAAATCTTGAATGTGACTAAGTCTGACCTTTGGGCTAAGTGGAGAGAATTAGAGATGAAGGTAGAAAATTCACCAGTATGTTGCTTACAGTGCTTACAGAAAGGAGAGGATTGTGTCCCCTTGGGCACAGCTGAGGGAAGGACACCAGCCTCAAGATCCAAGAGGACCCAGAAGACCACCAGAGCCTGAGCTTGTCACTTCTCGGAGGGTTGGCCTGAGTGATGTCCCAGTCACCTCACAGCCCCTTCTCAGGCAGAGAGCCCTTCATGGCTGACCACCACCATGGCTGACCGTGCCCTGTTCTCTGTTTTCAAGGCTCATCATATTCTGAGCTCAGGGTCACTGGTAGCTTTCATGTACAAATGCCTTGCTTTTCACAAAGCTGGGTCAGCCAAGAACAGGAAACTGCCACACTGGCCCATGCAGCCAAGCCTTCCAAGAGGACTGATTTCCTTTTCCTACCTCTCTGTGAAGTAGAGAGGTGTCTGCAGCTGCGGCACCAGAAACACAAGGGTCAGAAACTTTCCTAAGGACCCTTGCACTCAGTCAGGCAGAGTAGGAGGAGGAGTTAACCATGGACAATGAATACCCTGACTGCAGTGGTCCAATCTGCTGCCCTACACATGCAAGATGGCAGATCCGACAGTGGAACCGAGAGGCCCTGTGGCAGGCCACCATTCACTAGTATTCAACAAGTGCTGACTGAATGCATATTACTGCAAGAGGCTGGATAATGTGCTCACCAGGGGAGCAAGACTCTGTCCTGCTCTCAAGGTGTCTGCATCTCTGTGAGTTGATGAACGTGGTTATCAATCTCAGAGTTGGAAAGATAACCTGTTTCTTTGGTTATGGTGTCCATCTTGAACTTAATTGGTTGGTGCATACCAAGTGAAATCATTGTTCTTTTTCTACTCTTTATATTGAAGATTTTTGAAATTGACCCCTTTACTTTTCCTCTAGCAGGTCGAGTTTTTTTATTCTGGGATTTTGTGAATAAGGTCCCATTTTTTTTCTCTCTTTTCTCTTCTGGGGCTACAGTTTCCCCATCTATAAAAAAAGATGGTGGTCTAGACCTGTGCTGTCCAGTATAGTAGTACTAGCTGCCTTTCAAGAGTTCTAAAGCCACATGTGGCTAGTGGTTGTTGCAGTGGACAGTGCAGACACAGAAGATTTTTGTCTTACAGAAAGTTCCATTGGACAGTAGCGGTCTTTTTCTTTTTTCTTTTTCCTAATCTCATGACAGATCAAGCTTCTGTTTTATTACAAAAATTCTCTCTCATAGTATCCAGTATTTTACTAGTCAGTCTGGTCCAGGCAACACACTAGGCCAGGGTTTTCAGATAACAGTCTATTAGGACCTTTTACTGGGTTTCCACTGACATTTATGAGTCCACCCTCCTAAGAACAGAATTACTCCTAGATTTGTGGTTCCAAAGGTGTTTTGTGCTCACCTCTGCCCTAACCAGTTGTGTATAAGCCTACAAGTTCTCAGGGTTCTCACACAGCATCAAGGACCCAGAGGTTTTTCCACCCATCCCAAAGCCACCATTTGCTTCACTGACCATCAGAAGATTCCCTAGCAGTGAATGCAGAGCCTTTCTCCTTGATATGGAGAATAAAAGACAATAATCAATTTTCTAAATCATAGATAAAGATAAGTATCGTAAGTCACCCCAGAAAATGATCTTCTCTACTACCTGTGACTCTATATCATCAGGTGCTTATTCCCACCTTCACTGGCCCACCGGCTACCCCCTAAGCTGACCACCAAAGCTTTCTGCAGATTTCACACTGTGAAATAGACCTGAGACATGAACCAGGGGCCAAAGCATGCAAAAGGGGAGATGTGAAGAAAAGTTACCTGACAGATAACGTTATCATAGTGAGCCAAGGCACGGACATGGGGGGAGGAGGTACGGGGAGTGTTGCAAAGTTTCCTTACATTTGGGTGAGAGCCCTCGGCAATGGTGGAGAGGGAGAAGTTATCGTTGTGGAGTTCAGATGGGGTCCGGAATTTGCTGTCAGATAGAAGAGAGAAGGAAAAACGTAAGAGAAATGATCATGGCAAAATGTGACAATGGCAATTAGGTCTCAGCTTCATGGGCCAAATACTGTATTTCATCAAATGCCATGGATTATAACACGATGCATCATTTATTTCATGTGCCATTAACAAAAAAACTTCTGGGCAACCTTTTCGGGTCCCCTCTCACTGTGGGAGATTTTCTGTCCTCTCAATAAATCCTGCTTCAAAAAAAGAAAAAAGGAAAAGAAAAAAACTTCTGGGGTTGAGTACAGTGGCTCACATCTGTAATCTCAGTGCTTTGGGGGTTGAGGCCAGGGGTTGAGACCGCATCTCTACAAAAAAATTTTAAAATGACCCAGGCATGGTGGAGTGTGCCTGTAGTCTCAGCTACTCAGAAGGTTGAAGTGGCTTAAGCCCGAGTTTGAGGCTGTAGAGCAGGATGCAGTCCATAAAAATAAATAAGTAAAAAAAAAAAGGAAAAAAAAGTTCATCACTTAAATCATGACCCAATACTTTCTTTTTTTCTTTGAGTTGGAGTCTCACTCCGTTGCCCAGACTGGAGTGCAGTGGCCGCACTACAGTCTGGGCACCGCAGCCTGGCCATGGCAGCCTCGACCCGCTGGGCTCTGGCGATCCTTCTGCCTCAACCTTCCGAGTAGCCGGAATTACAGGCGTGCTCTACATGCCCGGCTGAGTTTTGATTTATTGTAGAGATGAGGTCTGGCCAAGTTGCCCAGGCGGGTCTCAAACCTGCGGGCTCAGGCAATTCACTCACCTCAGCCTCCCAAAGGCGCGGGATTACAGGCTGAGCCACTGAGCCCGGGTGACCCAATACTTTCTAATCACCTTGAGTTTTTCTTATAAACTTGAAGTAGCTCACTTAGACTTTAGATAAGGGACTGCCAGTGATATGAACAGCTAGGACCACGTCTGTGCATGCAGGCAATTACAACTACAACATGACTACCATCTGGCCAACTGTGATTATAAGATGCCAGCGACTGGAAGATACGATCCAAATTCAGAGACGTTAATATGTTTAAAAAAGGTGTATTTTAGAAACAATAAGTTGCAGTAGTATTTGCAGGGCATTAGGTGCATGTAGCACCATCACAGCAGTGACCAGGCTTGGAAAGAAAGAAGGTATGTAGAGAACAAGGTAGTTGCACTCTGCAAGAGACACAGGGTCGGCTAGAGAAGGACCTAGAACGAGGTCTTGCTTCTCCACTGCCCTGGTTGTTGCTCCTTTCTCTCCTCCATCCTTAGCAGCAGCTGCCCTGATTTAGGTGGTCCCATCTCCCGGCCCCTGCATAGCCCTGCTGGCCACCCCCTTGGTGTAGGCGTTGGGAGCCAGGTGTCTTGGTCTGCGTTTCTCTGGAGTGATCACGTGCACACATACAACCCGCCTCAGTGCACAGGCACAATGAAGAGGCCCTTCCCGCCCTGTGGCAGTTAGCTGAAAGGCTGCAGAGAGCTGCTGGCATCTGCACATCGCGTGAGTCTACCCAGCAAAGGAGCAACAGATGGTGTTTTGTCCTTTTCCCAGGACCCAGGGAAAGTCCTTCAGTCACATTCCCTAGAGGGAGTCTCAGGTCAAGGGGAGGGGGATTAATGGGGCAACAGGCAATTTTGAATAAATTGTCTCTGGGGTCCCAGGGAAGCTGAACTTCAGTTTCCTCCTGTGGTCACTTCTGTGACTCTTCAGAAAGGTCTTTCACTCTGCTTTGGTGATAAGACTGATTCTCTCATAGCGCGTAAGGTCACATTTGAGTGTTTAAGGCATGGACTTAAAGGGAAATGCATGCTGATTCTCACATGCACCCAATAGTCACTACTCTGCTAAGAGAAGGGCTGAAAGGAGATTCTATATCCCATATGGTCCTAAAAATCCACAGTAGAGTAAGTTAACCCTAGCCCTCTTCTGTTCCCCAGATTCTACTCAGGAGAGGTAAAGAGGATTTGCTTAAGTTCCTTACACTTCTGTCTGGACAAAGGGTTGACGGGCTTTTAAGAAGCAATGCAGTGTGGCACTAAACCCTTTTTCCTCAGCATTTACCGAGGAGGAGCTGATAGTGGATGACAGCAGACTTGAGGGACATGCAGTTACTCCATGTGGAATTGTGGGTGAAATCCTCACATTGGCCATTAGCTGACAAAGACCAGGGAAGAAGGTACAATCAGGTGAGTGGGCAGACCGAGTACAGTAACTTCCTTGGAGCCTGGGCAGGAGTTGCTATGTGCTGGCTGCCTTTGCTTAAGCACCCTCTGTCCCAGGTAGGTGCTGGGAATGTTGCAAGATAGCTGCAGTGTGCCACAGAGGCTTCACCTCTGCTGCAATTCTAGCACATTCTGTGTGGGAATGAATGAGCTTCAGTGTCTTTAGCATGGACAAAACAGCTAGGGACAAAGAACAGGTTCCAGGAACTGTCATGGCAAAATCCTTGGACCACATGGAAGGGTGCAATAGGGTCGGGATTGGGGATCCTCCCACCAGAGTGGGTGAGAGGGGTGGGTGACACAGACTCACTTGGTCCTACGCAGCTTGGTGTTCTCTGTCTTGAGCAGATAGAGTTTCTTGGCGAAGAACACTGTCATCATAAAAAGTAGGAGCAGTACGAGGGCGGCCGAGCCGATGGCCACGCACATCACCTGGAAGTCGGTGATGATGGACTCACAGCGCATCCCCTTGTGCCAGATGTAGTCCTGAGTGTTGCACCTGCAGTGGTGACATCGAGAGACCAAGGCAATGGGGCAGGCAGCCATGGCCACAGCAAGGGCCTGGGCCCTGACCCCAACATGTATCTCAACAACCTGTTCCTGTGGCCCTCTAGAGGAACTGGAATGCCCAAAATCTGCACAGATCTCAATAGCTGATCTTATCAACCATCTTTACAATCATTCTATGAAGTGGGCCAGGAGCTCTAAGGGCTGTGATGTAAATGAGGTAACAAAGGTGCAGAGAAATTGAGTGAAATAGTCAAAGTTCTATGACTGTTAAGTAACCAAGGAAGGAAGGGAATCCAGGCATTCTGCTGTGCAGTCTCAGTGAGGATTCTCTCAGGTCTCTCCCTGCCTTGGGCTCTGGGTGATAGGAAGATAAAAAACAAAATGAATAAGAACTATGGCTATAAAGCACTAGGGCCTGCCATGCACATGGAAACCCATCTTGCTGCTTTGCAGTCCCGTCTGGTTCACGTGGCTAATCAGACACTGAAAAAAGTGACAGACAAGGACAAACACAAAGATGGATGTAGAGTCTCCTCCTACCTCTGCAGCCCCCAAAGTTCTGCCCCTAAAGCTGCCTGTCCTAGTACTATAAGTACTGTCATGCAAGCATAGTGAGAATCAATCCTCTGGGTGGGTTTTGGTCCTTTTGTTGAGTGACTTTCTCCTGCCCTTGGGGACATTCCCAGGCTCCAACTCTTCCAATGACATTGCTGTTTCCATGGGAACCAGGCTGCTTCAAAGAGGAAAGATGTGGAAGGATACAGAGGCAGGCAAAGGAGGGAGAACATGAACCTCAGGGTGAAATGACAGATAAGAGAAAGGGGTCTAGAACAGGGAAATTATGCACCAGAGAAGTGGCTCTCCGCATCCAGAATAGGGTGGAGACATGGAAAACAAGGGATTCTCCTTTGTTTTTCAATGGAACCTCTGCCATCATGGCAGGCTATCTGTTTGAGGTTGCTGGGGAATGCAGACCCCTCCAAGCGGGACCCTCTAGCCCAGTGTCTAGAGAAGTTTCACCATAGCTCTGAGTTTCTCTGCAGTGGGTCAGGGTGACAGAGACAAAGGCATGCTGCAGTCTGCAACTAAAGGCTCAGCAGTCTCCTGTGAGTGGAATGCAAAAACAGTTTCCAAGCCGCAGCCAGGACTAGGTATACACAACAGAGGAGGAATCTGGTAGGGAGGCCCAAATGAAACCCTGAGACAGCTAAGCAAGGGAAACTGGAGTGGACACGTGGAGAAAGCCTTCTGAGGCAGTGATGGAATGCTGCTCCCATGGTGGACAGAGCCTCCTGAGTGAGGAGGACAATCTTATTCTTCTCCCTGGAATCTCCTGAGAGCTCCAGGAGACTCTGGGAATTTTTATAGCTCTCTAGAGGCAGCAAGGGCTCCACATTTCATACCATCTGGGGAGCTTACTTTGGAGGTGAAAATTCCAGGCCTCCAATAGGATGAAAGATGGTGATACTGCCCACAGATTCCACAATACTCAGGCTGAAATAACTATAGTCCCTCACACTGAAGTTTGAGGAACAAAATCATCACAGGGTTTACCATAATTCTGGTAGCCTTTAACCAACTGGCAAGGCCTTATTGTAATATATATATTTTTTTCTGAGTAGGGGTTTCACTCTGTTGCCCAGACTAGAGTGCAGTGGCATGATCATGATAATAACGGCTCACCGCGGCCTCAACCTCCTGGGCTAAGGTGATAGCTGGGACTATAGGTGTGCATCACCACACCCAGTTAATTTTTTGATTTTTTGTAAAGATGAGGTCTCACTATGTTGCCCAGACTGGCCTTGAACTCCTGGGCTCAAGTGATTTGCCCTCTTCGGCCTCCCAAAGTGCTGTGGTAACAGGCATAAGCCACGGTGCCTGGCCTCTTATGGTCGTAATTTCTTTTTTCTTTCTTTCTTTTTTTTTTTTTG